AATTTTTAGGTTAATTCTTAGGTCCTATCACCACTTGGAAATATTCAGGCTGTCCATGCCATCAGGATAGCTGACAGTCTGCAACTCTGTTTATCTCCTTAATCGCTGTTTTTATTCAGGTTCTTCTACTACTACTGGTGTTTAATCTACTTCTGTATCCTTCCTTTCAAAGCTCAGGGCTCCAAGATTATCTTCTTTATCTGTATCAATTGGTTTCTCTTTTGTTGAAGAGGGCCTGTGTAGCTTTTCTGCCTGTTCCACCATCTTACTGGAAGTTTGACATTTCATTTTTTGACTGCTGCTTCCATGCGTGTTGACAGTGGATCCAAATGAAATCCTTAACAACTTAAATCTTTTCTCCATTTATCATGATGTTGTTTATTGGTCCAGTTGTAAGGCCTTTTGTTTTCTTTATGTTTAAGTGCTATCGATATTGAAGGCTGTATTTGATCTTCATCAGTAAATGCTTCAAGTCTTTTTCACTTAAGCAAGGTTTTGTCACCTGAATATCACAGGTTGTTAAGAAGTCTTCCTCCAATTCAGATGCTGTGTTCTTCTTCATATAGTCCAACTTCTCAGACTATTTACTCAGCTACAGATTTAATAAGTGAAATGAGAGCATACAAGCCTGATGCACACCTTTCCTGATTTCAAACCATGCAGTATCCCCTTGTTCTACTCAAACAACTGCCTCTTGGTCTATGTACAGGTTTCTCATGAGCACAATTAAGTGCCCTGGAATTGCCATTCTTTGCAATGTGATCCATAATTTGTTATTATTCACACAGTCAAATGTCTTTGCATAGTCAATAAAAGCAATGTAAACATCTTTCTAGTATTCTTTGTTTTTAGCCAAGATATATCTGACAGAAGCAATGAAATCCCTGTTCTTTGTCCTCTTCTGAATCCAGCTTAAATTTCTGACAGTTCCTTGTCAATACCCTGCTCCAATATTTTAAATTATGTTCAGCAATATTTACATGCATTGGATGTTAAAGATATTGTTCAGTAATTTTCACATTCTGTTGGATCACTTTTATTTTGAATAGGCACTAATATGGATCTCTCCCAACTGGTTCACCAGATAGCTGTCTTCCAATCTCTTGGCATAAATGAGCACCTGCAGTGTTTGATAAAACATCTCAATGGGTATTCCATCAATTCCTGGAGCCTTTTTTTTTCACCAATTCCTTCAGTGCAGCTTGGGCCTTCCTGCAGTATCATCAGTTCTTGATCGTATGCTACCTCCTGAAATGCTTAAATATTGACCAATTCTTTTTGGTAAAGTGACTCTGTGTATTTCTTCTATCTTCTTTTGAGGATCCCTGCATTGTTCAGTATTTTGCCCATAGAATCCTTCAATATTGCAACTTGTGGCTTGAAGATTTTTCTTCACTTCTTTCAGCTTGAGGAGTGCTGGGCTGTTCTTCCCTTTTTATATTCTAACCCCAAGTTTTTGCACATTTTATTATAATAGTTTACCTCAACGCTGCCTTCGACATCTTCTGTTGAGCTCTTTTATTTAATCAATAGTGTCTTTTAATGTCCATTCTGGTCTTTTCTTCCTTTCTTGTCTTTTTAATGACCTTTTGCTTTCTTCATGTATTATGTCCTTAATATCATCCAGTAACTCATCCCATCTTTGGTCATAGAGTTCAGTGTATCAAATCTTTTCTTTAGATGATCTTTAAATTCAGGTAGGATAGACTCAAAGTTGTATTTTGGCTCTTGTGGACTTGTTTTAACTTTCTCCAGCTCCAACTTAAACTTGTATATGAGCAATTGATGGTTTTTTAGCTTCTCCATCATCTCTTTTGACAGATACTGTCTGTATTCCATATAGTGAAGTCCAGTTGTATAGTCGTTGTTTACAGTCATGACAAAAGATATCTGCAATGAATAAATCATTGGTCTTGTAAAAGTCTATCATGCAATCTTCAGTGTCATCTGAATGCCATTATTTTCCAACTATTGATGCTTCCTCATTTCCAACTTTCAGATTTTAATCCCCAGGAATTATCAATACATCTTGAATGGAATTTTGGTCAATTTCAGACTGCAGAAATTGGTAAAATCTTCAATTTCTTCATTGTTGGCTTTAGTGGTTGGTGGGTAAATTTGAATAACAGCAGTATTAACTGGTCTTCCTTGTAGGAATATGGGTATTATTATCCTATCACTGACATTATTGTACTACAGAAAGATCCTGATTTTTTTTTTCAAATTGTGCTCTGGATGCAAATTTACAAAGCAGATTTGTTTTACATCCAACAGTTCATGCACAATTGATTTCATGGCCTCAATTACCATCCCCAACCATAACAAACTCTCCTCCCTGTGACCCTCCTTATCTATGCATTCCTGTCAGTCCAGCTTTCCCTCTATGTGAATGCTGCCTCTCTGATGTCTCATGGCTGGTTATCTAATGAGTGCATCTCCCTAGGGTAAGTGTGTGCATCTCCCTAGAGTAGGTGTTCTATATGTAGGTCTTTCTACTGTTGGGCTGAGAGCCAGTCCATGGAATTGAGTCTGTTTCTAGTCCCGAAAGATAACCTGGGGCCACAGTCTTGAGGGTTCCACTAGTCTCTATCCAACCAGTAATTCTGGTTATTTTTGTGTTTTTGAATTTTGTTCTGCAATTTTCCTCACACTCTAACCAGGATCTCCAATTTTGATCCCTTTCCAAGTGGTTAGCATTAGTAGCCAGGCACCATCTAGTTCTTCTGGTCTCAAGGTCATGAAGGCTGAGGTCCTTCAAGGTCCATCATATCTTTGGACTAACTGTTTGTAGATGACTTTGGTTTTCTTCACTCTTCTTTGCTCCAGGCAAGGGAAGACCAATAGTTGCATCTTAGATGGATGCTCGAAAGCTTTTAAGACCCCAGTCACTACTCACCAAAGTAGGATGTAGAACAAGATTTTTATGTACTATATTGTGACAATTGAGCATGATGTCCTCCGAGATTATGGTCCCGAGCTCTTAAAATGTTCTTTTAACAATGTATGTGATGCCATTCCTCTTCAATTTGTCATTCTCACTGGTAGACCTGATTCAACATGGTCAACACCAGTCCATTTCAGCTCACTAATGCCTAAGATACTGATGTTCAAGCATTCCATTTCATTTCTGACAACTTCCAAGTTTCCTGTATTATTACTTCACACATTCCACATTCCTAGTATTAATATATGTTTGCTGTTTTTTTTTTCTTCTCATTTTGAGTCATGTCTTATTTTGACTGATGTCTATTAGCTGTTGAATTTCTCCAAGATCAATACATTGAAAAAAATCTGTGCATAAGTGGACCTGCGCTGTCCAAATCCATATTATTCAAAGGTTTACTGTGTACCTTTTCATACTTTTTGATGTTTGTACTATATGGCTATCTAATCTAAAAAATTAAGAAATGGTTGAAGGTAAAGCAAAAACAGAATAAAAAACCAAAACCAACAACCTAATAAGAACAAATCACTACATCAACAAATTTCCAAAGGTTTATAGTAATATCTGGTAATGTAGAATCAAACATCCTAAAATTACTCAGAGTGGTACATCAACAAATTTAGCTTCTTTTGATTGGGAAAACCTGGTTTTTGAAACAAAATTAAAGAAGCCATATTGATATTGAATATTCATTACTGTGAACTAGTTCTAACTGAGACAAAAAGATTGAGTATACAACTACCAAGAGTCTGAGGCACAGAGAAAGATGCTCTGGTTAAGACTAATTTCCATTTCATATTGCCAAAGTTTATAAATTGCCTTTTAAAAATATGTATTTCAACAGAAGGAATAGAAACTGAATGAATGGAAGACAGAGGTTTTTTATAGCATACCTTTTCATATATTTCACATATTCAAACCATATGAATGCATTACTTTTTCAAAAAGTTAAAAGTAAACAAGCACAACTAAAAGCAATTATGTGATTGATTACTTTTTGTGCTTTGAATATACATGCTCGAAATATATAAAAAAATGCTATGTTTTGCTTTTTCTCCTTTTGTTTTCTATATCAACTATAGCTTTTCTTTGTTCAGGGGAGCACTTCCTACTTTTATTATGATTATGCTGTCTGATTCATAAATCTTTCCAAAACCAAATAAGACTCTCTTAATTTTCAAAAAATAAAAATGTGCAGTTTTTTCTTAAGCTTTCAAATATAGGTCCTTCTGATTAAATGCATACACTAAGTACTTCCTTGTAAGTAAACCATCTTGCAGGTAAAGATATTTTGTAATAAAGTTCTTAGGCAAGCAATTAACTACTCTTTGAGGTTATGGAAGATACATTCATTGTATGAGTGAGGTTCAAAGTGATCTAATTATAACTAAAAAGTTGTCATTGATAGTAGATTCTTTCTCTTTCTGAGGCTTGAGATAGCAGTGACTTTCAAGTCAAGTGTGCAAAATTTAAAAATTCTTGAGCTTGTAATGTTATTAAACAAAGAACTGGTCACCTATGGAGGGTAACAAGGAACCAATTCATTTTCTTCAAAGGAAAAAATCAAGCATTTTCCTGCCCTTCCTAAATAAATTAAACTACTAGGTAACCAAATAATAGATGAGCAAAGTGCCTTTTTATAAATTTATTCAGCATAAGTGAAAAAGAAATTACATAATTGGAATATTGGCATTTTTGTAACCCTTAATGCATTAATATATATAGTCAATAATCATCAATGGAGATTTACATCACAAAAAAGATAGACAACTAGACATTATGTACTTCCTACAGTCTTGTCTAAGAAATGGAAACTGAATCTAAGCAAGCCTATTTCTTGACCTTGACAGTAGTTACAAATTAGCTTACTTTTAAATAAATTGACTAAGCCATGCACATACTTTGCATGATATGTTGTATCTGTTTAATTTTAAAATGACATTTTTAAAAAAGTGTATACAACTGCTTTAAAAATTTTTGTACAATTCTCTTTAAAAGCTTAAATTTTAAAACACAATCAACTTTCCCCAATATTGCAGAAATTAAAAATACTTACGCCACAATATTCAAGCATGTGAATAATTTCTTCTTCATAAACTGTTTGTGAATAATATTGTTTTTCCAGCTCCCTCCAATTAACTGATTTACTCAATACACCCTGAAATAAGAAGCTAAATTAAGATCAAATCACATCATAAAGTATATGTCCAATTAATATTAATATTACTGTGTAGAAAAGAACACAGCAGGCCTGACATAACCTATACTTAGAAAGGTCTGCTTGCAAGATTGGCTCTTGGCTGACATGTGGGAACTAACAGTTCCTTACACTAATATAAAACTGTCCCTAAATAATAGAGTAGGACACTATGCCTAAATTGTATAAACAAAGTAGTTTCTGCTGAACACTTGCTTTCCTTCTGGAATTTTGTAATCGGCTAAGCAAAAGATGCTTATTAACCAATTTCTGATAAAAACCCTGGACTACTAAGCTTAGGAGAGCTTACCTAGTACGCAGCTTGTCACAACTCATTACTGGAGGAATTAAATGTGTCCTGTGAGACTCCACGGGGAAAGGAGTCTTGGGAGCTCACACATGTTTTCTCTGGACTTCACCACTGTGTCTTTCCCTTTGCTGAATTTACTTTCTGTCTAAATCTTAGCCATGAGTACAAATATATGCTGAGTCATGTGATTCCTTCCAACAATCACATCTGGGGGTAGCTATGGGAACCCCAAACATAATCTTTAATTATATACAGCTATCTAAACAGCAGGTGCAATTAAATTACCGTAGTGAAGACCCCAGATGCTGTGGACCAAGACAGACATGGAATCAATGGCATGGGCTTAGGCCAGTTAGATACGGCTAAGGAAGCCATCTGTAAAGAAATAATATAGTCAGTTTAGAGAGTTTCCATTTATTAAACTAGAAAAAAAAAAATGCAGTATTAGGAAATACTTTGTGTAGTAGTTAGTGAGGTAAGACATGAACATAAAGTTTCTAAACACTTGTGAAAATGTCTAACAACTTCTTTAAACTGCCAAAATCATAAATTCAACAAGGACATATAATCACCCCCTTAGAAAGAAATAAAGTATAACAGAAAACTTATATGACCCCATAAAACCCTTCACTGAGAGCAACTTTCTACTGGGTTAGTGCAAGTAAGCCGAGATGGAGATGCTGGGCTACAGATTTAGCACACTCATTACCTAAGTAACTTGCTCATGTTTAGCAACTATAAAACATCAGACCTTTGCAGCTGTCTGGAATCTGCCACGAATTTGGTGAATTACAGACTAGACTGTGTAAGTGATATAACATAGTATGTGCTTTCAGCAGGGGGAAGTTACTTTTGACTGGAGGAATCAGAGAGAGCTTCATAAAATGGCCAAGTTTTTTAAGGAGAATGAAAGATGGAGGCCTTGTCTTCCATATAAAGGAGAGAGTATGATCAAAGGTAAGATGGTGAGAAAGCACAGGGTATAAAATAGGGAAACAGCCAATATATTTCAGTTTGGCTAGTCAATACAGCATATGTATGTAGCTAATGGAATGGGGGAGACATAGAACTGGAAAGACTGATTAGGATGAGGTTAGAACGCCATTTGTTTTGCAGTTAATGAGAAATTAATAAAGAGGCCTGAGCAAAGGAGTGGCAATGATCAATCAGATGATTAAGGAAGCTAAAACGATAGCAGTTTATAGGAATGATTAGTGAGAGTAAGCTTTTGAGACCAGTTAATAGGCAGTAGTCAAGGTGAACATTATAAGAACTTGACACAGTCATTAACAATGGAAACACTAAACCAAAACCAAACCTTTGCTATAGGGTTGATTTAGATTCTTAATGATCTTTTAAAACAGAGTAAACTGCCCCATAGGGTTTCCAAGACTATAATTTTCCAAGGAGCAGACTGACAGATCTTTTTACCACAGTGTCTAGTGGGTTCAAACTGCCAACATTTAGGTGAGCAGCCAAGTGCTTTAACTGCTGTGCCACCAAGGCTCCTTATGGAAACACTCTAGATAGTAAGATAAATCATTTTCCACCCTTCAGTTTCACTGTCTGGTAGTTGAATTTGAATAAGATTTTAGACTTAATTTTATAATTCAAATGACTTACAGAAACTTCATATATAATTATTTGTTAACAAGTATTATGTGACTAATATGTACAAGGTAGGGAAGCCCTGATAGAACCTACTGCTTCACGGAGAAAGGAGAATGGTAAACAGTAATCATGATACAATGAAAAAAGTGCTAATGAGAGGTAAAGTGTAGTCTGGGGAGAGGGATGGGAGTTAGCAAGAGCTTCATATAGGAAGTAAGCTCCAAACTTGAAGGATAGGCTGTTATTTGGTTAGGTGAAAAGAAAAGAGGGGAGATAGAGGAATCGGCAGATAAGCTACAGAGACACTCTTCAACAAAGAAAAGACACCAATTGACAGAGATACAGAGATAATCCTGGAGCCCTGAGCTTTGAAAGGAAGTATACAGAAGTGGATTAGGCATCAACCAGTGGAAAACCTGAACAAAATCAGTGAGTACTGAGATGGTCGGAGCAGTGGTTGGTCAGGCTGATGGAACCAACAGCCTGAATATTTCCAAGTGGTGTTGGGACCTGAGAATTGATCAGCTCTGGTTGCCAAGGCCTGCAGGGATGACTGTGCTGGTGACCTCTGACTAGAAAGAGAAACAGCAAGGAGGGAGACAACCTGAGCAGTGGACTTTCCACTGTCTTGAGGGTACAGCCATTTTGATTGTTTACAAGCAGTGGCCTTTTTTAGATATTTAAAGTGATGGAGGGTACAGCCATTTTGAATGTTTACAAGAGGTGGCCATCTTGGATATTTAAAGTGACCGAGGGTGCAACCACTTTGAATGTTTACAAGTGGAGGCCATTTGGATATTTAAAGTGACCAAGGGTGGAGCCATTTTGAATCTTTATAAGTAGCAGCCATTTGGATTTTAAAGCAACAGCATTCTCATTCAGATTCCAGGGACCTAAGAATAGGCTCTGTTTGCCAAGGACAGCAGGGACATATGGGAGGCTGACAATGGGAAAGGAGACAGGTAGTGAGTGTGTAAGTGCTGCCAACTAGCGAATAGAGGAGCACTATACACTGCTTATATAGGTAACATACAAACAAAACAAAGAAAATGAAAATCGTGGGCCATTCACTCCAACATACAATCACCAATTAAATATGAACACAAAAATGTCACAGTGCCTTGGAGACAACAGAGCATCACAGTCCACACAAAGAACCAAGATAAAGCAGGAGAAACAAGCGACCAGGATACAGACCCAAAACACATCCCTGAAGACGACGCAGCATTGGAACTCCCTGATAAGGAACACAAAAGAATTATACTTAGGTATCTTCAAAGGACTGAGAGACGGATCAAGGAAAATGCTGACAAAATTGAGGAAAACACAGAGAAAACCCTAGAAAAATTTGGGAAGACAATACAAGAACAAAATGACAAAATAAATGAAAAATCAGAAATGAAACAAAGTCTACACATAGAAATCCAGAAGATTAATACTAAATTTTCAGAAATAGGTAAGACATTGAACAGGCAAAGGAGTACAACTGAATCACTGGAAGACAGAATTAGTGAGACTGAAGGCAAATACCTCAATACTTCTTTAGAAAGTGATCAATCAGAAAGAAGATCAAAACAAAATGAAGAAAGCCTGAGGTTCATGTGGGATACCATCAAAAGGAATAACCTATGTGTAATCAGAATTCTAGAACAGGAAGAGACAAATAAAACCACAGAAAAAAAAAATGTTGAAGATTTGTTGGAAGAGAATTTTCCTGGTATGATGAAAGATGAGAATATATCCATTCAAGAAGTCCAACAAATCCCAAACAGGATAGACCTCAAAAGAAAATCACCAAGATATATCATCATCAAACTCACCAAAACCAAAGACAAAGAAACAATTCTGAAAGGAACATGGGAAAACTGAAAAGCTACCTACAAGGGGCAACCAGTAAGACTAAGCTCGGATTTCTCAACAGAAACCATGCAGGTAAGAAGACAGTGGGATGGTACATATAAAACCCTTAAAGAGAACCCTTGAAGAGAAAACTTCCAACCAATAATTATGTACCCAGCAATACTGTCCCTCAAATATGATGGTGAAATTAGGACATTTCCAGATAAGCAGTAATTAAGGGAATTTGTTAAAATCATTCCAACCTTATAAGAGATGCTAAAGGGAGTTCTTTGGACAGAGAACCAACAACAGCAAACAACAACTGACCATTAAATGTCACCATTTCTGGTGTCAAAACCCAGAAACCAACCCAGTTATGAAAGTATCCAAAGTAAATAAACCAACAAGATTGTAAACAGGGAACCAGAGACATTAATTGACAAATGAGGACAACTACAAACCAAAAAGAGGGAAAAAACTGTGTAGCTACAGAACTTCTAAATAGTATGGATGTCAAGACAACTACAAGATAGAACAGACTGTTCTAAACTTGGGAAGAAAACTATAAATCACAGGGTAACCTCAAAAAAAAATGATAAACCTTCACATCAAAATAAAAAAGAGGACCAGCACAAATATTCAGCATATACTAACACAATAGCAATGAAGGAAGTGATAACATGATTCATAAACAAAACAAGCTCAGCATAGAAAATTATATGGAACAAAGAAATCGACACCACGATATAGCACATAACAAAATGACAGCAACAGATTCATACTGGTTGATAATTACGTATCTGGCAAAGGGCTTATCTCTAGGATTTATAGAAAACTCCAATGCCTCAACAGCAAAGGGATTAACAATCCAATTGAAAAATGGGCAGAAGAAACGAAAAGACACTTCTCCAAGGAAGATATTCAGGTGGCCATCAAATACATGAAGAGACACTCACAATCACTGGCCATTAAAGAAATGCACATCAAAACAAAAATGAGATACAATCTCACCCCAGCACTGATGGCAAGGTTCAACGAGACAGAAAATAACAAATGCTGGTGGGGATGTGGAAAGACTGGGACTCTCATACACTGCTGATGGGACTGTGAAGTGATATAACTACTGTGGAAAACAATATGATGATTCCTTAGAAAGCTGCAACTGGAGATACCATCTTACCCAGCAATCCCATTACTAGATACATATCCTAGAGAGGTGAGAGCCAGGACAGGAACATAAATATGCACAGCCATGTTTGCTGCAGCACTATTTCCAATAGCAAAAAGATGGAAACAACCTCAACGGACGAGTGGATGTGCCCATCAATGGAAGAGTGGATGACCAAACTATGGTACATACACACAATGGAATACTATGCAACGCTAAAGAATAATGTAGAATCTGCAAAACACTGCCATAACATGGATGAACTTGGAGGACATTATGCTGAGTGAAATAAGTTAATCACAGAAGGACAAATACAGTATTAGTTCATTATTGTAAAAAGTCAAGGAAAGGTTTATATATGGAAGGAAACTTTATTTGTTGGTTGCCAGAGGTGGCAGGGGAGGGAAGGGAACACTGCAAAAAAACAAAACAAACAAACAAAAAAAAACCAACAAAAAAAAAACCATTGACCCATGTCACTTTACTCAAAAAAACTCATTGCCATCAAGTTGGATCCAACTCATAGAGACCCCTCCTTGGGTTTCCGAGGCAATATCACTACTTCCTTCCAAGGACTGGCTGGTGTGTTTGAACCACCAGCCTTCTGGTTAGCAGTCAAATGCCTTAAGCACTACGCATGTCACTTTAGTTTTATGTATTTCACTGTACATAAATTATATTTCAATAAAATGCATTTGAAAAAACATCTACAGAGATGCTAGCACATGGCAAAACGAGGGCCCAATGTAAAAGCTAATCTTCAGTGGATTTTAAGCAATAGAGAGCAGAGATCATATTTAAATCACTCTAGCTATGATGTGGAGAAAAAATTGTTGAAAAAAAGATTAATGAAAGAAAAGATTAGAGGGAGAGAAATGAATTAGGACATTGTTTTAGTACACTCTAGAACGGAGATGATGGTGAAACAGGTTGGTGGCACTGCAGGTGGGGGTAAGGAGATAAGTGAAAAGTATTTTCCAATTTAGCTATCTTAACCAATTTAACGGGAGCTCTGGTAGTGTAGTGCCTAAGGCACTTGAATGCTAACCAGAAGGCTGGCGGTTCAAACCCACCAGCCACTCCTTGGAAGGAAGATTGGGCAATCTACTTCCGTAGTGATACTGCCTCAGAAACCCAAGGAGGGGTCGCTATGAGTTGGGTCCAACTCGATGGCACATAACAACAACAACAACAACAACAACAAATTTAACAGCAAAATAAGACATTTGTACTTGAGACTTGAAAAGTCTAATTTTTGTAGTCAGCTTTTAATAAAATATTAAATATAATATGTAAGGCATAACTGTGGAGTAGTATAATCAATTTATCCATAAATCATATACTAAAAGAAACAATATCTTTATGCCATAATTGAAAGGAAAGTTTAGAATTTTCCTGCTTCCTACTTTCACCAAAATTAAAAATAATTCTATACCTAAAGTGAATTTTTTAAATAATCAAAATTCCCTAAATATTATAAACAATCTCAGTTAAATATAAATTGAAACGAAAGGCTTACGTGTCCTCCCATGGATATGCCGGTCATTCCTAGAGGTCCATAACCCTCCCTCTCCAGCCAGTGCAATAGAGCTGCAGATTCTAAAACAAGAGCTCCTCCCATCACAAAAAGGTCAGACACATTTTTTAAGCTGGACCTTCTAGTCTCCCAAAACAAAATAGAAAATGATTTATTTTCTGCATTGACATTTATAAGTAGCAAATTTACAACAGGCAGCCAGACTTCATGCTTTTCATTTAAAGGACTCGGCAACTAAAGTAAAACAATAGAATAAATTGATGATATTAGACTGATGTTAACATTGTTATACATGTTAATCACCTAAAAGTTTCTTTAAAAAATGTATCTCTGCTCTATGACATATTGAATCTCAATAAGTATAATAGCTTATTTGAATTTCAGCTATTTAAATAACTATTTTAAAGTCCAAAAAAATGTATTTATTTGATACCATTTAAAAACTGTTAAAATCATTATGGGAAAATATTTCTTTACCGCTAATTTTTCACTCCTCGGAAGGAAGGTTGGGCAATCCTACTTCCGTAGTGATACTGCCACGGAAACCCAAGGAGGGGTCGCTATGAGTCAGGGCTGACTCGACGGCACATAACAACAACAACAACAATTTTTTTTAGTGAAATTATTACTATCAATAAAAGGAAAAAGCCAAATTTACAGATTTTCCCCTTAGAAAGAAATCCTTGTAACAGAACTTAAGCCATAATATTTAAGGAAAAAATGCAATGTGAAAGAATTTAATGTTATACTGGGCTGACATATTACTGAAATCTTAAAATATGTTGATTATTTTCACAAAATAAACATTTATAAATACAGTATTAGAATAAATTTTGAAAGAAGTACATATTTTAATAAATTTAAATAAAGACTAATTTAACAGGTATTTTCTGATTTTAGAAAATGATTTATTTTACACAGAAGTACATTTCCTTGTAAGAAGTTCTTAAACATCTTTTTAAATCTTAGAACCATCCTTAGGTAGTTATTAAAAAATGCATTTTATCAATGATTTTTTATTATATGCCTATATGTAATAATTATTATGTGTAAAGAACCAGGTACCATAAAGAACAACAAATTGTGAAAAAGAGAATCCCGGCCCCCAGGAGCCTGTGCTACCAAGTTCTCAGAGTTCCAAGTCCCGGAGACATTGTTTCTCTTTATGGAAACTATATTATTTTTTGTGCAAACAGATTATACTCATGCTTCATCAGAACAGAGTCCATTTTAGCCTTATCTTTGATTCTTATCTTTAAGCTATTTTTTCTCTTCATGAGTACATGTTTCCCTGAGTATTTATTCTGGTCTAGCATGAAATTCTTGAATTTTCAGATTCAGTCCTATTTGCTCTTTTACACAGAAGTTAAAAGATAGGAGGCTCTGGAACAGTAGTTATTTACAATGATGCATTTGGTCTCAAATTGTTTAACTACTTTTGATGAAAACAGACATAAATGGCTTTTTTTTTTTAAGATAAAAGTAAGTAAGTGTATGTTTAAATTGTATGCTATCTTAGTTATGATGAATTATTTGAAAAAAATTATATAAAATTCCAATTTTATAAATGATATAATTGATACTCAGAAGTTAAGGTCATATAGTTTATAAGTGGCAAGTTACAATTCCAACCTATGTTTGTATGTCTATAGAGTTAGAATCTATTAAACCCATGCTGCCTCTCACTACAACTCAATAAACTCTTTTTGGTTTTTAACCACCTATGGATAAGGTAAGTATCAACACACCTACTTCTGAATTCAGAGCTTGGATCCAGTGTGAGAATTCTTGAACACTATTTAGCTTGGACTTCAATTTTTCACAAAGTTCATTCTAAACTATGCTCTACAGCATATAAATTTGCCTCCATCCCACCTATTTTCCTGTATCTCTTTTATATCATGACCACGTGAACACATGATTTCCAAATCTACGTTTAAAGTATTTTCAAACCCCCTACTTGACTTCTCCATTTCAAGGTCTAACAGACATTACAAATTTAACACATTCAAATCAGAACTTTTGATTTCCCACCCATAATATCTAGTTCAAATCTTATCATTTCAATTTCCAAATTATATACCAAATTCCTTAAAACTTGCCTCCATTTTTCTACTGTTACCACTTTCCAGTCTTTATTATCTCTTTCCTGTATTACTACAATAACATCCCATCTGGTTTCTCTGCTGCTACTATTGCCCTAGTAAGCCAAAATAATCTTTTAAAAACATAAACCAGACCATACCCCTGCACTCAGAGTAAAATCCAAAGTATAATGGCCTTTCATAATCTGGTTTTTTTACTCTGATCTCATCTCTCCTTACCTCATGCTAACTTCAGGTTTTTCACATACTGCTCCTTTTCTCTGATTGATCTTCCTCAAGGTCTTCAGGGGGGCTCCTTCTTATCCTATCACATCCTCATATATTATAATACTCCTACCCTACACCCCCTATTATTCTCTAAACCACTGCTCTATTTTCTTCATAGCACTGAAACATACCTGAAATTATCTTTTTGTTTTTATGTATAGTCCATCCTAGAATATAAGCTCTATAAGAGTAAGGATCTTATCTTATTGTTGCTATACTCTCAGTGTTCAGGGTCAAATATTTATTGAATGAATTAAACCAAAATAATAGATTAAGAAAGAAGAAATGCCTTTAAATTCATTATTACAAAATACCAGGAAGTTTTAGTCTCAGATTTTCAGAAAGCAAGTAAAATGTACTTAAAAAGGAAAGTTTGATCATTTCTTCAGTTAGTCTTACAAGTGAAATATATTTCAAGTGAGCCTACTAAAATTTTCTACTATATCCCACTGTCAGACATGAAAATACAAAGATCTTAAAATGAAAATTTGAGTCAGTATTTTTACTAGTTTTATACCAGATTTTTTCCCTCAACACTAGGATACTAAACACAGAAATGATTAACTGAAGGCTACCAAAATTTTAACTATTGCTAAAAATCTGGTAAAATAACTACAAAAATGAAAGTGATACTATACTTACACTTGGTCCTTGGGTTTCCTGCAGCCATTTAAGAATGTAGGTCAAAGAGAAAGTTTTAAAATAATTACATATACTTTATACCTCCAAATATCTCAAATTACATTAACTTAATCAAAGCAACTAAACTGAAAGAATTAATACTGATTTAAATTACATACAATGATAACCTTTCCAGTTATTTCAAATAGGCTTTATAGAAGGTCTCAGGCTTTTCAACTTAATTTTCTTTTCCTAAACAGCTTCACTGAGATAACATCACATACCATACAATTCACCCATTTAAAGTATATAATTCAATGCTTTTTAGTACAATTCACAGGACTTTGCAACCTTCAACTGAATTTTAAAATGAAGTTCATTGGTTTGGTTACCATAGAGTATTATATACCATTTTTTTTTTGCATCATAATTAATTTTTGTACATTATTATAAACTTTTAACTAAGAATAAACTTACTGAATGCTTACTATTTACCAAGCACTCTCCAGGCAGTATTAAGCATTTAATTTTCTAAATAATTTAAGAGATTATTCCCATTTACCAACAAGAAAACTAAAGTATTGAAAGGTTAAATAACAGGTCCAATGTCATACAGATATTAAGTGATAGACCAGTAAGTGCAACACAATCTACTGCATGAATATTCCAATAGTATAAAGCATGGCTGATGTGATCATTTCTCTATCACTAGACATTTAAGCTATATCGAGAGTTTAATTATTAAAAATAAAGCTATATAAATATCTTTAAGTTTCCTCTTTTCTTAGTATCTCATCTTTAGAATAAATTTCCAAGAATCAAAATCACTCTGTGAAGGGATGTGGTATTTTTTAAGGCTCCCGATACATAAGGTAGAAACGCTTTCCTATAGTATTATCAGTTATCAGTAATGAGAGTACCCATTTCACAATAACCTCCTCAGTAGTTTTATTTTTAAAATCTTTGCTTATTGTTGCTTTAATTTTACATTTTATCATTACCATCAGTGTTGAACATTTCTTTATATCTGTGCATCAGTTTCATTTCTTCTTCTGTGAAAAGTCTGACTTCATTTTGAAAATTTAGTTAAGAATTGTTGTAAACCTCAACTGATACTGTAAATACATTTAAAACACAGGGTTCCCTTTAAATAGCAAACTTCTGACTTATTAAAATCTAGCATTACTCTCATGAGTAATAGAAGTACAGTTTATTTTTTTATAATCCTTACGTTGGTATTTTAAAGTCATGAAATAATTTTTCACTCTTGCTTCTTAAGTCTTTTCTGAACTACTAAATTTAACTGGTTTAGAAATGTTGATTCTGAGTTCCGGCAAGATGGCGGACTAGGCAGAAGGACTGCACAGACCCTCTTCAACAAATAAAAGGGAAACCAATTAACACAGACACAGAAGATAATCTTGGACCCCTGAGCCTTGAAGGGAAGGATACAAAAGTGGACTAAACCCCAACTAGCAGAAGAATTTGCGTGAAAATACCAAAAAAGGAGACACACGGAGCTGCAGTTTGGCAGTGACCTGAGCGAGACAGACGGCACAGACGACAAGGCTTGGAGATTCCCGAGTGGTGGTAGGACCTAAGAATTAACCCAAAAATCACCCGGCTAAACAGGGACTGCACAGAAGACTGTGCATGGTGGCTGGGGAACAAACGGAAAAGGTGAAGAGAAAGGTGGGCTCAGCTGTGGACTTTTGTCTGTCCAGAGGGCGCTGCCATTTTGAAGGTTTAAAAAGCGGCTTGACTATTTTGGATATTTAAAGAGACAGCGCACTCGCAGATTCCTGGGGTGGTAGGACTTAAGAATTAACCTAAAAATCACCCTGCTAGCCAGGGACTACATGGAGGACTGTGCACGGTGCCTGGGGAACAAACGGAGAAGGTGAAGAGAAAGGTGGGCTGAGCTGCGGACTTTTGCTGGTCCAGAGGGCACCGCCATTTTGAAGG